TTACATCAGGCCCAAAATATAATAGTAAAAAGCCTAATGAAACAGATGATAATCGTGAAGTAAACCATTGCTGGAGTAGATTTGAGAAGGCTCTATTCGGGCCAGAATTCCCTTACAAAATTAAAATGTCGTCGAACATAGTGGAAAGTTTGCAACTGGGTATAGCTAGTAGTAGTAGTTGAGAATGCGCAGGAATCATCCACAAGAACAAGTCTTATAAATTATATAAACACATTTCATATATCACCCTTAAGATCAATGGGGTTGTCTTATAAATATCATAGATATCATAAACTTTCACAAAATATAAATATATATCTTATATATAATATACACTACAAGTTAACAAAAAAAAAAGAAGCGAAAATGAGCAAAAATTAATTAAAAAGATTTTCAATTCAAATTTGAGACACTAGAAAATGATTAATAACTACCAAATACAATTAAGAAATGTAACAATACAAGAAACCAAGAATTTGGAGAAGACCACGAACATTTCACATAAGACCGAGGATTTCAATTACCATTTATTGGGTCTTTCTCAACATCCCAACTCACAATATACATATCTATATAAATACGATAAATTATTTTTTTATATATAAAATACCGTATACACACATGTACATTCGTAGATAATTATCGTGTTTTGTAATTGAAAACATTTTTTAAAAAAACATAATAATTATCGTGTTCAACAATCTATACAAAAATTAAAATAAAAAAAGGAACAAAAAAGATTAGCATTCATCATTTTCTTAAGTTAAATTCACAAAGTATAGTAATTAGGTTGGTAACTCTGTAGTTTCTTACTAAGCTGTACCATAATATTTTTGTCCCTGTGTAATAATCAACCGTAGATGAAGTATGTTAAAACAAACAAAATCACTTGATGACACTTGTGGGTAGTTAATTGGCATCGTTAATTAGAGACTTGTCCAATATTAGAATAAGATCCGAGTTGTGTGCTCGTTCAAAAAATCGGAAATCCTAAGGACCAACGAGAGAGAGAGATTCAAAAATAGAAATTTCACGTAAAAAGAATTAGTGATGCAGCGTGAAAAAAGGCAACGATTCCGTGCAAACCAAGGTACCTTCACCTGCATAAATAGTTAGTCACAACATCACCAATAGACTCGTCAAAAGCAAGAGAACATAGTTTCTTCTTGCTTTTGTGGAAAATAATTATATATATTTTTATATAGGAAAGGGTTAATTTATTAATAAAAAAAATAAAAAGAAGCAGAAAAGAGAGAATGCAGGGTGGTAGGCTTTTGACGGTGTTGGTGTGCCTCGCCTCCACGGTGGCGATGGTGAACGCCGGTGACCCTTACTTCTACTACACGTGGAACGTGACCTACGGAACCGTCGCGCCTCTCGGCATTCCTCAACAGGTGATTCTCATCAACGGACAGTTCCCTGGCCCTAACCTAAACTCGACCTCCAACAACAATGTCGTCATCAATGTCTTCAACAACCTCGACGAGCCTTTCCTCTTGACCTGGTTTGTAACCAATCTGTCTCCTAATTCCTTTCGTCACAACTTGTCATTCAATTGTTTCAAACCACGTTTTTTTTACATTAAAAATTGGTGTTTTTAAAGACAAATCATTTTTTTTATCAAACGAAATGAGAGCTTTCCATTTGCATTTGGAGCTAGACTCTTGCAATCATTTTTTTAAAAGATTTTTAAGATTGGTCTTCATTGTATCTTTGGATACTTAGTCCTGACAATGGTTTTGGGTGACGTGGCAGGAGTGGACTCCAGCACAGGAAGAACTCCTGGCAAGATGGTGTGACTGGGACCTCATGCCCAATCCCAGCAGGCACCAACTTCACTTACCATTTCCAGCCTAAGGACCAGATCGGTAGCTACTTCTATTACCCATCCACCTCTCTCCACCGCTTCGCCGGTGGTTTTGGTGGCCTCCGTGTCAACAGCCGTCTCCTCATCCCCGTCCCTTACGCTGACCCCGAAGACGACCGCACCATCCTCATCAACGACTGGTACACCAAGAGCCACACCGCTCTCAAGAACTTCCTTGACAGTGGTCGCACTCTAGGATCCCCCGACGGTGTTCTCATCAACGGGAAATCCGGTAAAATCGGCGGAAACAACGCTCCTCTCTTCACAATGAAGCCCGGAAAGACTTACAAGTACAGGATCTGCAATGTTGGATTCAAATCCACTCTTAACTTCAGGATCCAAGGCCACAAGATGAAGCTTGTTGAGATGGAAGGCTCCCACGTTCTCCAGAACGACTACGACTCTCTTGATGTCCACGTTGGACAGTGCTTCGCCGTGCTAGTGACCGCTGACCAAGTGGCCAAGAACTACTACATGGTTGCATCCACTAGGTTCCTCAAGAAGGAAGTGAGCACTGTTGGTGTGATGAGCTACGAAGGAAGCAACGTTCAGGCTTCAAACGAGATCCCCAAGGCTCCCGTCGGCTGGGCTTGGTCTCTCAATCAGTTCAGATCCTTCAGATGGAACTTGACCGCCAGTGCCGCTAGACCTAACCCACAAGGATCTTACCATTACGGAAAGATCAACATCACCCGTACCATCAAGCTCGCCAACACCAAGAATGTGGTGAATGGAAAGGTCAGGTTTGGGTTCAACGGTGTGTCACACGTTGACACCGAGACTCCCTTGAAGCTCGCTGAGTACTTCGGTATGTCCGAGAAGGTCTTCAAATACAACGTCATCAAGGACGAACCAGCAGCCAAGATCACAACACTAACCGTCGAGCCCAATGTCCTCAACATTACTTTCCGTACCTTTGTCGAAGTCATCTTCGAGAACCACGAGAAAAGCATGCAATCTTTCCATTTGGACGGTTACTCCTTCTTCGCTGTCGCGTAAGTCCTTTCTATTTTACCCATTATACCAATTGGCAATGAATTGACCCGTGTCTCTTATATAAGAGATGAGATTCCTAACACTTTCTCTAAACGTTTTCCCACAGTTCCGAGCCAGGAAGATGGACACCAGAGAAGAGAAAGAACTACAACTTGCTCGATGCTGTTAGCAGACACACCGTGCAGGTGTACCCCAAATCCTGGTCAGCCATTCTATTGACATTCGACAATGCCGGTATGTGGAACATCAGATCAGAGAACTGGGAGAGAAGATACTTGGGCCAGCAATTGTACGTCAGTGTTCTGTCACCTGAAAAATCACTAAGAGACGAGTACAACATCCCACTCAACACCAACCTTTGCGGCATCATCAAGGGCTTGCCATTACCTACACCCTACACTATTTAAACTCACTTCGACAAAGTTTTTTCTATTTATATGTAAAATTCTACTTTCCAAGTGAGTGTATTACGTGATTAATTAACCCTTTCCTAATTTCATTAAACATACTATATATCATTTAACTATAGACCAACTTGTTGTTTCCCTAATAGTAAAACGAAATCAACTTACGTAATATATAAACTTCTTTCTATACAATAGAGTAATAGACTGTTGTTCAATTCACAGAAACTAATCTGAAAATAATCTCAAGAAATTAAGCAGAAAGGTAATCTATTAAGGTTATAATTAATTTTTACCTCATATTGAATCTCCTCGATCATATCGATGAGTAAATCTGAAAAAAAAAAAAAAATCGAAGAAACAACACTAGAGATAGAGAATAAGAGATTCAAATCATGGAATATTCATGCACAATTAACAGATTAATTTCACAGCTTGATTTTGTTGGAAAGAAGTTTGAATTGTTAATTAATTATGACAATCGGATTCGTTTAACCTATTATCAAACCCGATCGGGAAACTAAAGACCAAAAATTCAGAGAAAACAAAAAAGAAACCTAGATCGAAATAAAACCCTAAATCACCTGAAAGGTTAAATTCCACCGCAAGCAAGCGTGACACAGTAGCTCTCATCGGCATCGAGAGCAAAACCGGTTGACGCTGAGGTCAAAGTCAAACAGAGCAAACGAAGAGAATGGGAAAAGAAAGTTCACGCGCGCGTGTGTTGTGACTACCCGATTCGACCAAGTTACGTTTTTTTCTTTCTTTAATGTTTTAATGTATAGTAGATATAAGAATAATATAATTTAAAAATTTTGTTAAAAAAACATTTTTTTATCATGTAAAAAAAACATTTATATGCACTAGATAGCCAAATTTTACCATTTTATTTACTTAACAGCTCATTAAAAATTTACGAAGAAGCTAGTTTTATTTATTGCATGTGTTTACAAATAAAAACCAACAATGAATTCTTATCATACTAGTACACTATTTATATCATATCACATTCTTTATTTAAATCATACCACATCATCATTTCTTACAAATAAACTTTCCAAAAAAGCAATACAACGAATTAACCCTAATCATAATTAAATGTCTGGTTTGGTGTGAGTAAAAACTTATTAATTACCGAGAAGCACCTCTAGCCTAATTACGTTCCACCTGCGCGCGACAGTCTCTTTTCACCCAAGGGTTCGACTCTGCCGGATATATGGCTTGGCTTCCGTGATGTGGCCGCCAAAAAAAAAAACTTATTTACTACCTCCTCTCATGGTTTTTTTTTTCTGTTGGCAGCAGCTGTTTTACAAATAGTTTCTAATTCTAGCTATAGAGGAACTAAAAAAAGAAAAAATACATATATACTATATCTTTTTGAGAAGCACGTGTTGAGCAGATAATACATATAGATATGCATCATTCACTAGTGAAAAAAATAATCATTCATCAAGATTTTGTTCTTTTAGAAATTCGTCTGGACTTTACGATGTAAGAGCCTCCTGTATACTAAAGAAAACTATAACGAAATAGAGATTTAGACCAAAAATATATCTGGGAGCATTTTAATTAGTACTACAAACCTTTTTCTCAATATTCAGAAGAATTAATTTTGGTTGTAAACATATACTTTTCAAGGAAAACAAATTTTTGCAGACAGTTCTTACCTCGTTCTGCATTGTTCCTTAGCTCGAGTTCTTGGGGATCTTTACCACATAACACCTATGCGCGACACAAAGTAACGTGTAGCCAAGGACAACTTGCCGATCATGATTGTTACTTTTGCCTCTTGGTTTTATATTATAAATATTTAATACGGCATAATATATCTATATATCCTACTTTCTTCCTGAATCCTCGAAGAACCAAAGAAATTTGAAACCTAAAATGTCTTAATAGAGTATAAAAAAAGATCATTTACATCGGCAAGTCATCCTTGGCTGCACACTACTTTCGTCACATACGCGTTTCACTATACCCACTTATATATATGGAAAACCACAAACCAAAAAAAAAATGTATATGTGAAAACCATAGAGATGGAAGAGGATATCTCTACATATTTGTTTGGGGTGCTTATGAATACTAGAGGACTCACTCGCTCTGGGTTTATATAGAAGACGGTGAAGAGATAATAGAGATGAGAGGGAATAAAATAATTAAATTGAAAAGAGAGAAAGATTTGAGATTTTATACCCCCAAGAAGGTAGATAAGCAATAAAAAATCCACATTAATTTGAAAGAAACATAAAAACAGTTGTGATATATTAAAGAATTATATAGATTCGAAAAAAAAAGAATTAATTAAAGAGATAAGGTTCCCCCATGCTTCTCCATCCTCATAATATTAGTTTTCTTAAGCTGCAAAAACCTTTACAGCTTTAACAGACGATGCCATTAAGAGATATGGGCCCATATACATATATACACATTCATATACATTATATACACATACATCTTCACATAGCCATATTCACATGTACCATTAGTCATTAGATATATAGATTGCTCGTGTATATAACGAAAATCGTCATCTTATTGTTTTCTTGAATTGTGTTTAATCTTCTTTCGTTGACAAAAAATTGTGAAATTTATAAACCTTTCAACAAAATCTTTTAAATTTTTAAATTTAGATGCTCTCTAAATTAATAAATCATCAAAGATCCTTAATATTTTTATATCTGAAAATATAGAGTTTCTAGTAAGCTCAAAAAGGTTTTGGTTAACCTAAGTAAATAGATTCTGTTTGAGCAAAGACAAGTGTATATGCAATAAAAATTTAAAACGAGGGACGTGGTTTGAGAAAGAAGACCCACTTGCACAAAATCGACCTGGTTTTGGTAAGTTGATAGGAACCATAAGTTTCTAATTTTAGTACTTACTAAGAAATAACTCACGAGAAAAATAAATGTGTGTAGAGAGAGAGAGAAAAAAAGGGATTCACATAAACATTTTTAGAAAAAGAAAGGAATCTTAACATTTACGTGTAACCCTAGTTATCCCGAGTCCCGACAGGTACTCGAAAGGGCACTATTAAATAAACATCTATATTTATATAGTTTGTTTATAAAACAAGTAATCAGTAAATAGAGACCGTCAGTTATTTATATATTTTTTCTTTTGACAAAAATATGTGTTTATATATATATACAAATACTGGTTTGTGTGGTGCTTTAGTTTGGCGTTTCCTCTCCTCGTCGCGGCATAGGCTTTGTTTTTGTCTCTTCTCAATTCTGGTTTTCTCGAGAACAAATCGGTTTTGTGGAGGAGATAGTGATTTTCAAGGTGGTGATTTAGGAGAGGCATGGTTCTCGATTTTGGTAATGGTGGCGGAAGATCTCTGCTTCAAGATTTGCTGGTGGTGGTGTCTTTGGGTTGTGGTTCTTCTGCAGCGGATGATAGGTTGTGGCGCTGTCGGGTTTTGGCTGCCGGTGGTTGCGAGGTGACAGAGACATTTCGTTTTTGTTCCTTGTCGGGTTTATGGCCTTATCGCTCCTCTTTTCGGATGTTAGTAGTTGTATATTTGTGTTTGTGTTTGGCTTTTGCTAGCTGTTGTTGGTAGGCTTTGTTGGTGTTGCCTATGGAATAGTTTGGGTCATGGTTTTGCTCTCTGTTATCTCATGAAAGCTCCGGGGATTGGTCGTGTTGGCTAGGTTTTGGATAGCTTTCGTTTTATCCCATCTTGGTTCGTTGAATCTTTTACGTTTGACTCTTTCCACCGCCTCTAGATTAGACTAATAATAGGTTTTCTCTCGTGGTCTGTTCGTTGTCTGTTCTTGTAAGGCTAACCTTTCGTGGGGATGCAAAGTTCTAGATTTAGACTTGTTCGGTAGAAGACTAGGTGGTTAGGTTTTAGATTCGCGGTCGTTGCTTATTATGTTCAGGATATTCGTTTTTAGTTGGGTTATTTCTTCGCGGTTTCCTCTATCCTTGGTTCTACTCCGTTTCCGGTTGTAGGTCTTCTAGTATGCGACTTTTGAGCTCTTAGTTCCGCGACTAGTGTTCTCCTCCGACTTTCCCGGTGATTTCGAGAGCTTTACTTTTTGACTATTGTATTCTATCTTGTGTTTCCCGTGTATCGGGCTTTAGCTTCCGGGGATTTCTTTGTTTTCCGCCGGCTTTTGTATTTCAAAACCGCATTCCAAAAACGTATTCCTCCCTTGTATTTCACCCTTGTATTATATAATAAAGAATCTTTCAGTGAAAAAAAAAAATATATATATATATATATACAAATACACACAAATAGAACTTGGAATCTAAAACTTATCGAAAAGATCAAAAAAGGACCTGCTCGAGTAGGTCACTTGCGTGGCCGTACATTTTTATATTTTTCCATTATTATTAACATATTAATTTAATAAGATGTCATATGTTGGTACACAGAAGATATATATATATATATATATATATTTTGATAAAATTTGAAGTAAACACCATGAGATTTTACGTATGGAAACTAAAACAAATAAAAGATGAAGCAAATTTGTTATTTCAACATGGTTCTTTATATTCCAAATTTTTAATTGCTAATAGTTTATGTAAGAAAAAAAAAATGTTATGTAATAAATATATTCGGGGTTGTCTCGTCTGTGTAAACAAGAAAAATGGATTAGTTGGGGAAAAGAAGAAGAAAATGGGTACAATGTGATGTCAGTTGGTGGAGTGGCAGATCGATGGGATTTTCACTGCTCTTTAGGCTCAAACCCCTATGACTCATGTGCTTCCCTCTATTTTCTTGTCATGCTGAAAATCTATATATATTTTGTAAATTGAAAATAATTTTTAATCTTTAAACTTCAATTATGTGGAAGTATAGAAAACAAAATAGTATAAATTTAATCGATAATATGCATTATAATTCGGATGATGACACAAAAATATCGCTAGACGCTAGTATATATAACTAAGCTACATGTCTTAGTGATATAAACATTTTTTTTATAAATGTTTAGGGAACTTTGTATGTGTAAGAAAAAAAAAGAATAACATTGTTTATAAATGATGTTTATGAAAATTCTTCGTAAATAGACAAATAGAGTGAAGTATTTGTTATAGTATAAAATTTGAAAAGAAAAAGATAAAAAAACAGGGATAAGAATTGTGTCATGTAAAATAAATTTAGGACTATAGTGGGGAAAAGAGGAAAAACGGTCTATTTCCCCATGAGAAGTATCGTATCACGCTAGATAGAGCCCGTTCTTTGACATCGGTCTATATGTCCATGAAACGGAAGTTAAATACCTATTTCCCGACGAAATGGAAGTTCAATAGCTTAATCTCCCCGAATCTGAAAGTTCGAGATCTATAACCCCATCGTACTGGGTTTAATCGGTTTATTGTATACTTAACCGATAATCTCTTTAACCGAGTACCACTAAATAAATAAATTAATTAATTGAATTATTTTGAAAGAAAAAACAACACGTTTGCTTTCTTCTTCCTTTGGCTTTCTCCCTTTCGATAATGGTAACTGGTAATGTCGGCTCCGTTGATGGTGGCTATAGATCTATTTCGCAGTGGTTCCCCTCTTCTTCTTATTCCTCCTCTCCGCTTCGATCTGCTTCTTAATTAGAGCTTCATCGGCTTTGATTAAACTCGAATCGAGACCATCCCACATTGTTCCACCCATTGAAATCGCATGCTTCGCGATTTTGTGGAAGATTGATATTGCTGAATCCGCCATTGTCGACTTGGTGGTTTGTGTTGATTGTTTTCTGGTTCTTATAAAATTTTCCCGATTGATTTTAAGATGAGAAATCGAACGAACAATGAGAGAATTCGATAAAACAGATTTAGTAATTGAGATTTTGATTTTGTCTAATTAGATTGTTCTTTGTGAATGTAAAATCTCTGCGTGAATCCGAGTTCTAATCAGATCTTCTGTTTCTTTGCAATAGAGGCCCAATCCTTAGCATCGATTCCAGTTTTCCCGTCAATGTTGATATTAACGTTTTTAGGAATTAAAATGTGTTTAAAATGCTTTGTTGAATATCTCTTCATTAATTACGTCAAATTTGAATGCATAAATCTGAAACCCATCATAACAATCAAAGAGAGACATGCACTAATTTTCCAGATAAGCATAATCTGGAATGAAAAGGGGAAGAATGAAGAAGACGAAGAGGGGATGCAATTTGTTATTATTTTTTCTTTTTCATTATTAAAACTCTCTAAATCAAAAATATGGGTCGGTTATCATAAGGAATCAGATCTTTTTTGGTTTGGTTATGACCCAATACATGGTTTCGTCTCGGGTTTATGCACCAAACCGACGTAACCACGATTCAGGGAGATTAAGCTATTGAACTTCCATTTTGTGGGGAAATAGGTATTTAACTTTCGTTTCATGGACATAGAGACCGAGGTCAAAGAATGGGCTCTATCTGGCGTGATACGCATACATCTCATGGGGAAATAGACCGTTTTTCCGGGGAAAAGATGAATAGAACCATCGTTTTCTGTCGTTTTGATTCTTTATACGCTTCTTTGTGGAGAGAGAGAGGTCAATCAAAAAATCTGAAAGATTGATCTTACGACTTTGTCAATAGGTCCATGCAGGGACCATAAGGACCCCAACTTATGATGATGAATATATTAGCTAAGTAATCATAGAACAAAAATCACGGAAATAGTCAAAACAAAAGGTTTATCTAGATAAATGTTGCATGTTGTTTTTTTTTGGTAACATGTTGTTGACAAAACTTATATGTGTATTCTTACTGTATTTTCTTAATTGTTCACAAGACTATCATCTATATCTTTCTATGCAATTTCTCTTGAATCATTTTGTCTTATTTCCTTTTTCTTAACCAAAAAAAAAAAAAAACTATACAAATGATGGTACACACATGTCCTACCACTCTGACTCTACCGACATCGGTGTCCTGAGTTTTTCCAGAAAATCTATGTCCGAATCCCCAAATTGATATGAATACGATACTATGACCACGA